AGTAGAAAGGTACTTGACTAATTGACTGTGTGTGTTAAAATGTTGACTTTCAGGGCCAAATCCAATAGAATAATAGATACAACTATATTGACATGGGTAGGTATGAATATAAACAAACTCAGACTGAAATAGATGTGAAATAAGATAAAAATTGGAAGGTACTGGAAAAATTCATCCTTTGACCCACTTCTAAAATTTGTACAAATGTTGCCCTGTTGACCAGGCATAAAATATACCATCTGCATCCCTTGTTGACACTGCCCCCAAAATATGGGTTCATTTTGGCCGTCATATGCTCCGGCCGTCTTCAGGTGGTTAGAATGTCGAACTGAACCCTTTATTTTGCTCACTGGGGTAGACTGTTCTAGTTCCACGTGCCATGTTTTAATGGATGTCAGTTATCTCCTGTTAATTTCCCTCTGAAAGTTCTCCACTGCCTTAACCAGGTATTGAACTCACACTCTTTGGGTCCTGTCACTGGATCTAACCAATGCCTTTATCCTCAAGCACATAGTGACAGGACCCAGAGTGTGAGTTCAATACCCGGTTAAGGCAGTGGAGAACTTGGAGAGGGGAATTAACAGGAGATAACTGATAACTGACATCCATTAAAACATGGCATGTGGAACTAGAACAGTCTACCCAAGTGAGCGAAATAAAGGGTTCAGTTTGACATTCTCACCACCTGAAAAAGGCAGGAGAATACAACGGCGGAAACATTTTTTACTTTAGTGTAAACTGGACATATATCTACATTTTTTCACTCTAGTGTAAATTAAACTTATTGAATCTCATGTCAACAAAACCCATGTCTTCCTCTCCGACGTTAATATAAATCGGACCCGTGTCTGCCTCTTTGACATTAGTGTAAACCAGGCATATATCTACTTTTTCCCCCGTTGTGTAAACTAAACCTATGTTTAAGTTTTGACTCCTAGCATAAATCTGATCTATGTCTCCATATTAATTCATTATACTTTTTGTTCTGACTTCTGTTCAACATTATATAACATGACAAGATTTGATATTTTCAATAAATTAACCAACCTAACATAAATGAACAAATCACAAAAAAAAAAAAAAAATTTTTTTTTCACTTGATATTTCTTAGAAGAGCATCTTCATCTGGTTTAAAACTTTTCAGTGCCCCACTTTTTTTATGAACAGGCTAAGATTGCTATTTCAGACTTTTCATATCTAAAGAACAACACCGGCTTCTCCAATCCATTGATTAGCATTGACGTCTATTAAAACTCTGGACATTTAAGCTGATGGAAAACAAATGCATATATTATTAGTTTTCAGATGTATTTTTTGTGATTCAACATTATTCCTTCTGACTGTAATCATTTTTCTTTCTGTGGCTAAACATGTTTGAATCTACATTCCTGTTATTTTGTGGAATAATGTATTATTCCATCTACAACATTTTACGTGCGCGCGAGTTTCCTCCCTTTCCTCCACACTCGCGTGTGCGCGCGCGCGTTTGACACCCCTTCCTGCCTCTCTCAGTCAAATACAGTAGTAAACTGGTTTTTGCCGTCAGTCAAGCTACCTGCTATTCCTTCTTATGCAAATTAGATTTTTAAAATCTTCCCGCGAAATTTCTGTGACGTCACGGACAAACTGTTGTTTCAAAAAAGTTAGTTGTGATCCAGACTCGGACCTAAGCAGACTCATTTATCCATGTCGATATTTAAGGTTGACAGACAGGGATATGCTTATTTACGAACAAACATTTTTCGTCTCCCTGGGCTTGCCGTAAACAATTTCACAAGACCATGAAACTCGCTTCAAATATTCTTCATTTCTCCTGGCTAGATGCCCACAGCAATCCAGAAAAATTTCCAGCAGCCAATTCAATGCCTCACCAAAAACTCCGAGACGACCGAACATTCTTTCTAACTATGAACCTGAACACAAAAGAAAAACACAAAATCACATACACTCTCAATTCGCGGGACTCTAATCTGCTTTGAACCCGTGCCTAAAAAAATATACATAAACATTTCACTTTCGCATTAGCAAAAACTCGCAGTGAGTATTTTTCCTTGTATGTATATTATTCTGGTAGTTTGACTTTTCTGGAACCTTCTTCTTCAAGAACTTTTCCCGCCTTAGCCATCTTGTTTTCTATTTTGGCGCGGAACATTTTCATTGATCCCTACCACGGGATAAGTTACTTGTTTTCCTGTATTTAATAAAAACTACTCTTGTTTGAATCCAGTCTTTTCTGTCATTCTGTGAAGGCTATCTCGTTAATGTTTTTTATTTTATGCACGTATGGACTAACCACATTCCTTCGTTGTTCATTCACGCATTTTTATATTTTTTTTTTACATTGCTTGTAGACTCGGTAGTTTAGTGTGGTGTCTGGCACAAGGCCACTTGGTAATAAACCAGCACTGCACGCTGCCGGGTCTGCAACAAGTTTGGTGACCCGAGACGTGAATTGAACACGCAATAAGATCTGCAACCTTGCCAACATAGTTCTGAGCAAGCTTAAATATAAACGTGCATAAATTCGATAGCCAGAATGACGTCTAGTGACACTGAAGAGTTGGCGAACATGACCGCCGCCGTCGCTCCTTTTCCCCCCTTTTATGAAGGGAATATAAAGAACTGGTTCCTGCAAATGGAAGCTATTTTTACTGTCAGAAGGATTACAGACCAAAAAACAAAGTTTGGCCACGTGGTGGCGGTTTTTGCCACCCGCCATTGTCGACGAAGTATCAGACTTTCTAGAAGCCGTTCCGGAGGTAGAACCCTACGCCCGATTAAAAGAAGCTATCTTAAGAAGAATGGGCCGTACGGAGGAAACATTAATCCGTGAATTACTCAGTAATTTAACTTGCGATGGCAGGACTCCCTCACAACTTCTGCGTTTTATGAAAAGCCGACTCGGTAAAAATACTATGGCTGACTCGATTTTGAAAAGCTTGTGGCTGGATCGTCTCCCCACCACCATTACCCAAATTTTGGCACCTATGTCCGAGAACACCCCGATTGACCAGTTAGCGGACGCCGCTGATTGTATTTTCTCTCAACTGGATCATCAAACAACGCCAGTACACAGTGCTGAAGCGACTAGTGACCACAGGTCCTTAGAAAAAACAGTGGAAGATTTACAGCGCCAAGTTAGAGATTTAACATTTGCTCTAAAAAGCCATGGTCGAAGCCGGTTCCCTTACCGCCGGCGCTTCAGGAGTCGACCACGCTCGTCCAGTCGAAACAAGGATGCCACTTCTACTATGTGTTATTACCACCGCCGATTTGGGTCTGCAGCACATTACTGCACCAAGCTGTGTACCTATACTGCGGTTGCGGAAAACAAAACCGCCAGCGAGTAAAAGCGACTAATCTCGCTGGCAAGGCATTTTCACCGAAGCTTAGTCGCCTTTTCTACGTGACGGATACACGTAATAATTTACGTTTTTTGGTTGACACCGGCGCTGCCATTAGTGTATTACCCGTGCGTGATAAAGCATGTCAACAACCTTTTCAGCTACGCTTACAAGCAGCAAATGGTTCCAGTATTAATACTTACGGTACGAAGTCCCTTACCCTAAACATAGGAATGCGACAAGACTTTACCTGGAATTTTACTGTTGCTGACGTCCAGATGCCGATATTAAGTGCTGATTTCCTGGCGCACTATGATCTCGCCATTCGAATGAACAACCATTCCCTAACAGACAACTTAACAAGACTGTGTGTTCTTGGCACTTACTCTAAACTTACCACCACTGGCATCACCGTGGCAACTTGCCACAATAAAGAGTACTTAGACTTATTGAATCAGTACCAGGACCTCCTGCGTCCTGCTGGATCTATTGATTCAACTAAACATAAAACGCAGCACTTTATTAAGACCACTGGTCAACCTGTTTTCTCCCGTCCTCGTCGTTTAGCACCTAACAAATTAAAATTCGCAAAGAAAGCTTTCGACGACATGCTACGAGAGGGTGTTATTCGTCCGTCCGACAGCCCCTACGCTTCCCCTCTTCATTTGGTACCTAAACCAGGAAAGGAAGACTATAGAATTTGTGTGGATTATAGAAGGTTGAATTCCATTACCGTCCGGGATCGTTATCCATTCCCCCACCTCCACGATTTCGCTTCTGGTTTACAAGGCGCAAAGATTTTTACTAAAATAGATCTCGCAAAAGCATATTATCAGGTGCCAGTAGCTGCTGCTGATGTCCCAAAAACTGCTGTTACTACACCTTTTGGTTTATTTGAATTTTTGAAAATGCCTTTCGGCCTTTGCAACGCAGCACAGACCTTTCAGCGTCTTATGGACGAAGTTCTGCGTGGACTCCCTTTCGTTTTCGATTACATTGACGACATCTTGATAGCTAGTGAGGACGCTGCCTCTCATAAGCGACATCTACACGAAGTTCTTCAGCATTTGTCTCATTACGGATTCCGTCTAAACCTGGACAAATGTGTTTTCGGATCAGACCATATAGAATTTTTAGGACATCATGTCGATGCAAATGGAATTGCCCCTATAACTGAAAAGATTAAAGCTATCACCGAGTTTCCTGTCCCGGTTTCCATTAAACAGTTGAGACGCTTTATAGGGATGATCAACTTCTACCGGAGATTTATTCCAAACTGTTCTAACATTCTGACTCCCCTTACCGACTTATTACAGAAGAAGAATAAAACTATTACACTAGAGAATGAAGCCTTGGACGCCTTTCGAGCAGCTAAAACCGCTCTAGGCAATTTTTCTAAGCTCAGTTTCTTAGAGGACGACCCTCAGTCGGATATCTACCTGACCACTGACGCTAGCGAAACAGCAATAGGCGCAGTCATTGAACAAGTCAGTCCTTCTCAACGTAAACCCATAGCGTTCTTTTCCGCTAAACTTTCTCCTGCCCAGTCACGCTACAGTACCTTTACTCGTGAACTGTTAGCTATTTTTCGTGCTGTTAGGCATTTCAGACACCTCCTCGAAGGTAGGTCTTTCGTTCTCTTTACGGACCACAAAC